TTAAGAAAAGCTCAAGAAAAGAGAAAAAAGTCTATAAATGTTATATATTTTAATAAATATGTTTATAATCTTTATAATAACAAAAAATATTTATGATCTATTAAAGCTAAGATCATAAAAATATTTATGAAATATTTTGGTACATTTTTACAAAATATTCAAATAAATCTTATAAATATTTATAAGATATTTATAACTGTTTTTTGCTATCTGGGTTGTCATGTAACACATGTGTATTTGAATATGAATTTCTTCGACTTGTTCCACGATATAAAATAGATACTTATGAAAAACGCATTGTTCTGCAATTTGCAAAAGATGTTGAGATGTTTCAGAATTCAGACGCTCCATCATTGATATCAGTTGGAAACATTCTCCTAAATCATCTCCTCTTCTGTATCAGACTAGGTATTGGATATTGAAAATTGCAGATTGAAGATTACAATTGGACCAATTGGAACAAAGCAAACGAACATCGAAGTTTGTTGCAGTGATAAAATGTCGAAATGTAATCTTCAATCCGCAATCCTCAATCCATAGTCTGGTACAGGCTTAATACAATCCGGTGACTCGTAAAATTTTAAAAAGTCATAGAACATAATATAAGAATACACTGAAGAAATGTAATAATATCAATAAAAATAGTTTACTTTTTGCTATTACTTCAATAATGTTAGCGATGACAAAACATTTGAGCAGCTGTGAAAATGAGAAATATTGGAACGTCCTTTTTATTAATTGAATTACTATTTTCTGTAGGGATTTTAACTTGTTCTGTAAAATAAAACAACTTATCACAAGTGCACGGTTTTGTAACATGCAACAGATGTTTAAAGCAACAGAGCGCTCCATCGCGGATTAAAAAAAAATACTGCGTTAATGGAATGCAGTGACTTCCATAAATTTGGAAAAAGTTATAGAGTATGAGATTATATTGAAAAAATGTAATATCGATTAAATAAAGTATTGCATTTTTTTACATATTGCTATTACTTTATTATTTACCATTGTATATATATCAATAATGTGCATATACAGGGTGTTCGGAAAGTACCGGGACGCCCGAATATCAGGAAAAATATAAGTTTTACAAAAAAATGTTTCAGACAAAAGTTGTGGCGTTTAAAAAGATGTATTTACTGATCACATCAGTTTGACCTTGGGTTGCGTAGCGAAGGTCAGGTCAAGGTCACATTAATTTTTTTAAATG